CTGTTTTTGTTAAAAGTAATATGCATATGTTTGATAAGCTTACTAGTACCAGATATAGAGGCAAAATTAGAAGTATTCCTAGTAAGTCTGCCTTAATGAGTAAGAGTGTTTTTTGCATGTTATCCAAGATATACAACAAACTGCCATGTTGTATTTCAAAAATTATGAACCTCAACTTGTTTAAACTGAAATTAAAAGAATTTCTCAATGACAAAGTGTACTATACTGTAAAAGATTATCTTGAGGGGAATCCTTATGGTCAATAATTAATTTAATTTATTTGACATTGCTTGTGTGACATTCTATAATATAATTGACATTTACTCTTTTACAATATATATCTAATTTGACATTAATTTTTTGACTTCAGTGGTATGAATAATTATAGTTTCTTTGACATTATTGTATTCTAACAACATTACAAGTAATTCAATTCAATGGACCTAATTTTATTATGTAATTATTTTTATAACATATCTTTGCATGCCAAGTTAAGGCAAAATATGGAGAAACTATAAACTTTGTTAACACCTATATATTATGTACCCATGTTTGCAAATGATTAAATGAATATGAAAATATGAATATGAATATGAATATGAGTTCGTATGCACTATCGAAGTTTATTTTTGCAATGGTTCACTACTTATTTTTTGTTTTAAACATTTTTAATTCTTTGTAAAAGTATCGTATTACCGAGACAGAATCCTTTTACTTCGGAACGAAAATTAAATGGAACCAAAAACATTCCATAAAAAACTAGCCAAGTCTCGATGGAGCCGCTCGTTCATCTCTAAAAAATAATGAAATCTAGACAAAGTCGTGCCAAGTCTAAGGTTCCTTCTGTGTTTTTTTTCTTATAGTTAAAGTTGCGTGACTTGGCCGTTGAATCGCTACCCATTGAAAAAATTGCCATAACGAAAAAGTTGATTGAATAAACAACGGTTCTAGCGACAGATTGGTGCAATGATACCTTGCACCTGATATTGAACCCTTGTGTACCCTTCTACGGCACTGTTTGTTTCGTGCTCGACTTGGCTGGGGCGTGCCCCCAGATAAATTCCACGGTGTATAAAATTTATATCAAAAGTCGATCTAAACCTATTTTCAATTTTACATTGAGATTGCTTATTGCAATCGGCCGTTAATTTTTTTTAAATAAAACACATAACATAACATAACATCACGCCTTTTTATCCCCGAAGGGGTAGGCAGAGATGCACATTAGGGCACTTAATGCCACTGTACATTATAACACCCACTTTTCACTATTTATGTTATGAGTCCCATGTAATAGGGGGTGAGCCTATTGCCATATACCGGGCGCATTTCCAGACTCCATGCTACTACTAAGTTTAAAAAAAAAACCCAGTAATTCTTTGCCCGACTCGGGAATCGAAGATTCGAACCGAGACTCCTTGGCTGGCCATCGCACTTGCGACCACTCGGCCAACGAGGCAGTCAGTCAGTCGAAATAAAACACAATTTTGTAAATTACTAGAAATGAGTCTTCATGCCACAAGAGTGCAGGAAGTATAAACTAACTACTCTATTTATATACCTTTTGGGAAATAAAAAAACCTTTTACCTAACAACCAATATTTCTTGTATGACAAGATATAAAACAATATACAAAATTAATTAGAAACATGTCTAGCATAACATTACAAAGTTAATATTCTCATGACCCAAATCCTTCTAATTGAAGTTTTGAAGAGATTTTGTCATGTTACCGTTTACTGACATATTTACATTGAGTCCTAAATTAATTTGTGGAAATACAATAAGAAATTTGACAATCCTTTTTGTAGAAACGAATTGAGGAACATTTACCTACCTTTTTTAATTTGCCCGGTACATAGCAATAGGCTCACCCCCTTATTACATAAGACTCATAATATAAATAGTGAAAAGTGGGTGTTACATTGTACATTGGCATTAAGTGCCGTAATGTGCACCCCTACCCCTTTGGGGATAAAAGGCGTGATGTTATGTTATGTTACGGATGTTATAAATGAGAAAGTGTGTTTGTTTGATTAGCTGAAATAATTCAATGTGAAAAGTGGGCAGTAGAGGTTGGACTATTTTCCATATACCGGGTACAATGGCGCCTACCGTATTTTTGGTCATTATATAGTACTAGTGTGAACCTTTCGTTCTTCGCCCAATAGGAAGTCAGATAGTGTCACACCATTGGACGTTCAATATTTGACAGCTGCTGTGATTGGACGAAAGGACCTCTTCCTAAATTTGCGCCGTCTTTATTTTTAAGTAATTTTAAGTAATAAATAATAAATTGTAATTGTAATTCACAAAAAGTATTACATGCTAATTGGCAGAATGTAGCTGATCAAATTATTTTATAATAACTACTGTAACATCTACACTAACTTGACCTATATTCGCAATAAATGATTTGAATTTGAAAATTTGAATTTGAATTTTTTATATATGCTAGCTTCTGCCCGCGACTTCGTACGAGTAATGGCGTTTTCTCCCGTTCCGATTTCTATCGTAAGAACCTTCCTGACAATAACAAACACAACAAAAAAAAAAAGGTCAGCCAAATTGGTCTAGCCGTTCTCAAGTTATGGCGTGACAATGGGAAACGGGTTTCATTTTTATATCTATAGATTTGATGGGCCGACTTTGGCCACTATCTCACCTGGTGGTAAGCGATGATGCAGTCTACGATGGAACACGTCGTCCCCTAAGCAATCTATTCACTGAGGCCTTGAAGACACCCACACCTTCAGGAAATACAGACTCTGGCAAAGAATTTCACTCCTTAGCAGTGAGCTAAAATGCGGTAGCCTCTAATTTAGACACGGTGCTACTACTGATAATAAGAATTATATAGCCAGTTATATGAATCTAAATATCTGAAGGCTTATGGCTCTCGGAAGTCACACTACGCAACCAACAAGACAAATCCGAATTATTTATTTATTTATTTAAATAGGTATACCAACAGCTTCTGTATACATAGTTTTAAGTGATAATGAAAGTAACAATAAGTATTAGGCTTATACAGTCGCCAATTATAGGTTACAACATTTAATTACTTAAGTGATAGTAAAAACTATAGATACAAATGAACAATTATTTATCAATTAATTATTAATATATGCATTATTTATTGTAGGTTTTTAGTTCAGAGACACGCTTTAACATGTCAAAATCCGTTTTAAGTTGGATAGGTTCTTTGCTCTCCTTTTTGCAAGTAGGTTGGGTTTGGGACTAAATTTGAATAGGTACCTTTTTATCCTTTACAAACATGCAATCATTTTCAGTTTTTGTTAAATACATAAATTTATTAACTTGTTAATTTTGGATAAGTTCTAACTGATGGCATAACTGAGTATTGAAAAATCGGCCCTAAGGGTCGTTTTTTCTAACGCCAGATAAATTTTAACTGAGAAATATTTTTGAATATTTGACAATTCTTCCGTACTATAAACTGGCAAATGTTAATTTTATTCTATAGTTAAGTATTAACTGATGATTGTAACTCGGCCTTAAGTTAACAAGTGAGCATCAGCTCATGAATGAAATTTAAAAGGTGTTTCAAAAAAGAACAAAATTGGCGACTTCAACTGTTGAATACTAACTATGTAATTAAGTTGAAGTGGTTGTGGGTACAAAATGAGGTCTCAATCTAAAATGTTGTGTCAGGAAAAGTATTAGCAGTATTTTTTATTAGATTTCCAGTTATATCGTCTTACAGTAATAAATAAATCAAACACTCCCTAGCTTAATACTCGTTGCGCTTATACTAAACATTATCTCTATTTTCATTCTTTAGAATGCTGTGTCAGATGATAAAGAAGATGTCAGCAGCACCACCGTTTTGCGTGCCCAACTACTACCACAAACTCTTCGATGATGCTTCGGTAAGTTCATTCAACATTTTATTATTTTCCTCTTGGCTTTCCTGCAACTAAGTGCAATATGCAGGTCTGATCTGAGTCCTCATCAGGTTCAGATAAAGGGGAGATAATGGAGTTGGTAATCCAAGGTGCATGGACTGCACGGTTGGTGCGGTGGCTGGGAACCGGCTGCCGTGCGTGTGTCGCGGGTTCGATTCCTGCACGGAACAACACTTTGTGTGATCCACACATTGTTGTTTTGGGTCTGGGTGTCATTGTGTATGTGAACTTGTATGTTTGTAAACGCACCCACGACATAAGAGAAAATCCTAGTGTGGGGCAATGTTTAAAAAAAAATTCTTCTTCTTAAAAGGTTAGCAACAGACTTCTCATTCTTTCAGTATGGGTCTGTTGGTGTTCATGAGTGGCACAGATCGTTCGCTCGATCGTTAGCTCCTTGTCTTGTAAATCATAATAAATTAGGTTTTTGAACTCATACTAAATCATGTCATTATCATACGTAGTACGTTAACTAAAAATCGCGAGTTACTCACCTGAAAATACCGAGAAAAGCTCTACTAGTTTCGAACCATAAAGGGGTCTTCCTCATGACCAGTATGCGCAGTCGTGGCGAAATCGCACAGCCTACTCATCGCCATCGCATTTTTAGTTAATTTAGTATATTTCACGATAGTTATTATATACATACGTAGTACGTATGCAAATAACATCGACGTAAATGCAGAGTGTACTAGAGCGAAACGTTGTTCGCCATAGTTTTAATCATGACATAATTAGCACGCCTGTTTCCTCTTCAGACATTTATTAGGGTGAGCACGAACATTTTCACATCACATTTTAAAATGTATTTTGTATCCATCGTGAATAAGTTCAAGACCCAAAATATAATTATACGTTATTTCTAATACATTTATTATCAAAAACGTTGTCTTGCACATGCTGAACTGGTCCCATTTCACCGCAGACTTGGGACATTAGTAGATATATATAAACTTATGTGTAAAATCTGTACGTGTCACCTGTTTTACCGTGTGAAATAAAGTCTTTCTTTCTTTCTATCTATTTTATTTAGTTAGACTTAGAATTTAGGCACAAATACGTGTATAGAAAGAGAAATAGACGAGAATTATAAAGGAATGGTACCCTAGAGACAGCAGAAGAAGTAGACAAAGACAGCATAAACGATAGGAAGACGACTTGAAGCAATTAGCAGGACCAGAATGGTTACGTGTAGCAAAGGATAGAAACAAGTGAAAATCTTTAGAACGAAGACAATATGTTGTAAGCGTAGAGAAAACAAATGTCGAGATTATGTCAGATTAGTCTTTAAGTTTACTTAATTTCTTAAGGTTTTGTTACAACTGTATTTTTTTAATTGTAACTACAGCAATAAAGGCTTGTTTTATTATTTTATTTTATTATATTTACGTGGATAACATAGTCCTCAAACTTGCTAAAATAATGGCACCAACAATATCATACCAGCTGCACATAGTCACTGGACTATAATTCCCATACTCTAGTCTAAATTACCACCATATAACCCGACCGAAACCGTCGAATAGGCTCATGATAACACTACCAACAGCTGTGACCTGGTCATTGTGTACCACAATGTCCTCGTAATTCCAGCTCAGACTGAAATCGACTCTATTACGTACATTACAGCCTTCAGAATACGACCTATTTCCTAGAACGTTGACCTGAAACTAACAAGGGTTTGTTACATACTTCACCTTCAAGTTTCAAGTGTGTATTCGTTTTCTTTATTGGAAATAGAACTGTTTTCTTTATTTATATTGGCTGTGCGTAGAATCTTTTTATAATAACTATCATGAGACATACTAAATGCTGCCTCGTTGGCCGAGTGGTTGCAAGTGCGACTGCCGGGCAAGGGGTCTCGGGTTCAATTCCCGAGTTAGGCAAAGTATTACTGGGTTTTTCAAAAAAATCACCGTAGTAGCACGGAGTCTGGAATTGTGCCCGATATACGGCAATAGGCTCACCCCATATTACATGGGACTCATAACATAAATAGTGAAAAGTGGGTGCTACATTGTCCAGTGGCATAATGTACACCTCTGCCTACCCCTTCGGGATAAAAGACGTGGTGTTATGTTATGTTTGTAATATACTGAGAAAACCTCTATTAGTTTCGAATCACAGAGGGGTTCTTCCTCATGTGCAGCGTGCGCGGTCGCGGCGACGTCGCGCAGCTCACTGACCTGCTCGGTAACCCGTGATTTTAGTTAATTTAGTATGTCTCACGATAGTTATTATAAAGTTAAGTATATGTTGCTATGGCAACTACTCTGAATACCTACTTGGATGTAAGTTTACTGACGCATATTCAACGGGAACTGTTAATAAAGATCGAGTTACAAATACTAGGAAGATTGCAATCTTTATACTGAGTGGTGTTTGAAGCTTAGTTAGATAAGTGGGTTATCAGGCCGGTACAGGCAGGGAGTAAAGTTATTAGCTAATATTTAAGGTTTTAACTGCCAATAGAAAAATGTGACTACCTCGTTGGCCAAGTATTCGCAAGTGCGACTGCCGGACGAAGGGTCTCGGATTCGATTCCTGAGTCGGGCAAAGTACTATTGGATTTAAAAAAAATCTGAGTCTGGGTCTGGAAATGTGCCCGGTATATGGCAAGTCTCACCCCCTATTACATGGGACTCATAACATAAATAGTGAAAACTGGGTGTTACCTTGTACAGTGGCATTAAAAGCCGTAATGTGGTGACCTCTGCCTACCCCTTCGGAGATAAAAGGCGTGAGTTATGTTACCTATGTGTAGAAAACTGTTTTAGGGAAATCCTCCGCTAACATCGGACACCGGTGACCCCCCATGATGTTTAATGTGTTAATACTTTTAATTTTTTAACTCGTCGAGTACCGGTTTTGTAGACACAATTATAGAACAATAGGTTGCGGTCACCGGTGACCGCTTGGTGTTTGACAGTTTAATACCTTTAATATTGTGTTCACAAGGACTTTTTAAATGTCTCTAATAGTTTTATTGAGTTCTTTTTAAACTGTCCGCAACCTATTGTTCTATAATTGTGTCTACAAAACCGGTACTCGACGAGTTAAGGTTTTATTTCATTTGAGACAGACTTGATTGTGTAATTGGATTTTTTCGTGGGCTGCGTCTAACTTTCACTAAATTTTAATCAGTTTTTTTTCACTAATCTTTATTCAGCAAAATTTTAGTATGAATTCAACTACTTATTTTGCAAATTCTGTGAATTCATGACTTTTATTCAATAATTTGATAAATTTTGCTGTCAGCAGTGCTATAACGTAAACGCACCCATTACCGCCAGTTTAAGCACAGTTCAGATTGATATCAAAAAAATAAGCACATTCGTAATAAGTGGCTACAATAAAAATATTTTTTCCAGTGCTGAAATTATCGAATTTTTTAGTTATGTAGAAGAATATACAATTAAAGAATTACTTAATAATATAAAAATTAAATAAAAGGAAAAAGGGTCATGTCCCCATTACCGACTCAAAACATCGGTATGTGCCTAATACCGTTTCTGTGACACCTAATACCGACCACTAAATAAATGGGACCGTTAAAATTAAATTTAAATGCTCGTGTATATTGCACTGTTTTTATAAATGATCCAACACTTAACAATTATAATGTATTCTCATAATAGTATATTCTTAACAGCGTTAAATCAATAAAAGATATCATATTTATACGAATTATGTATAACAAATTACCAAAGTCCAGCATTGAACTATAATATATAACCAATGACGAAATGTGGATGTCGCACCATACATTGAGTCTGATTGAGGACAGAAAAAGGCTTCAATTGAGATTGCTCGACGCCCAGGATGACGCTATAAGAGCCGACCTGAACGCACAGGACCGTCAGAAACGGAAAGAATTCTATCGTAGCACCCGCAAAGATAGGAGACAGTGGACTGACGGTATTGCTGATCACGCTCAACAGGCTGCAAACGCTGGTAACATCAAGCTTAGGAAGAAAAAACTACTGAAGTCTAAAAACGATCAGCTCATTGCAACATCCGAAGGGCGCTGCTTCGCTGGCGTCAACACTGTGAGGAGGTCTTTCGCATGTCGGCTACGGCGACACTTGGTGACATCAACACGGAGACTCGACGGCGGGATAGAGTGGGAATTATCCAACTTCTTGGATTGGATTACGCCGATGACCTATGTCTGCTGAGTCATACCCACGCCGACATGCCAACAAAATTGGATGACCTGCGGCAGGAGACGGCAAAAGCTGACCTAAGAGTTAACCCCCCTAAAGACCAAAGAAATTAGAACGGGTGTGAAGAATCCTACACCGTTGCTGATTGGCACAGAGGCAGTGGAACGTGTCCACAATTTTTTCTATTTCGGGAGCGTCGTGTCAGAGACTGGAGGTACTGAAGAGGACATCACTTCAAGGATCGCCAAAACCCGAGCGACCCGAGACCTGTGTGGCAGTCATGGAAACTGACCCGAAGGATAAAACTGAAAGTCTTCGGTTAAGTGTAAAATCCGTTCTACTCTATGGGTGCGAAACGTGGAAGGTGACCAAAGACATCTCACGCCAACTTCAAGTCTTCGTTAACCGATGCCTGCGTGCCTAAATACCAAATAGAAAAACATGTAGTATGGGGTCCGTCGTAAATGTACAAGTAGATCGGTAATAGGTTTTCTTAAAGGAAATCGTATAACCTATTACCGACCCATGGGAATGTGTATGAATTGTGTAAATACATGTGATTTATGTTCATGTATATAATTTTCAGTGGTGCGGTTGCTAAAAATATTTAATAATAATGATATTTCAACTACAAAAATACACTATTTAAAAATTATGCCTCCTTTATTCATCAAAATATTTACATAAGAACTAAGTTAGTATACACCGCTACTAAAGCTCTTAAATGTATGGCGTTAATAGCTCAAATATAAGTTAACATACTAAGGAACTGAATTAGTATACCCTCCTGCCTATTAA